GGAGCTCTATATTGAGGATCTGATTTATACTATGCTAAGGGATTCTTCAAGAACTTTTCAAAGTACCTGCTACAGAAATTCTGTAGAACTACTAGCCACACATAGCATGTGGCCTTGTTTCTTTATATATGTTGGTGGCTTGATTTCAAGGATTGACAGTTAATATTCTTGGGCATCTTCAATATTGTCTAATGCTTTTTATGAAGCACAAAGTAAAGAAACTTGTTGTACATAATGTGTTTATTATAAGGCATTCAGATAGTATAGATTGCAGAGGGAAAAATCACTCTAAATCCAGTCATTTACAAATTACCACTCAGTAATGCTAAATACAACTTCTGTCTTCAACACCATATATATATATGTATATATACATACATACATATATGTATATATATATTGAGGAGAGGGAGATGTAGGTTATAGAGACATTCATTCAGATTTGGAGAGATGTAATTTTGTGAAAATGGAATTGTACCATCAGTGTTATATTTTAAGGCAATACTGAATTCAGTTTTTTTCATGCTAGCCTTTGGTGGCATGTATACAACCTGCAGGCCACTAATTTCAGACTTTTGCCTGTAAAGACTATGTTAAAAGGTAAAATGTTGAGTTTGCTCCTTTTAAAACTACATTTCTATACCTTCCAATTTATCTACCAATTACCTGTATGAACCATTCGACAAGCATATTAGATTCCAGTTAGGATGTTCCTTTCTTTATTAACAAATGATTTTCAAGAGGTAGGCAATTAATTCAGTGCTAAATGCTTTACCTAAGAACTTGATTATGTTTGATGTCTCAGGGTGTATCAAATGACTAGCACAGTGATGATTATAACAATGTGGCCTTGATTCTTCTGTTTGTATTTTTGTTTACGTCCTCAATGAAACAAATTTAGAGATCAGATGCCATTGCTATTCAAGGCCGTCTTAAGCATCTCCAAAAATTGCCCATTGTAAAATGAACTCAACTCCCATGACAGGAAGAACATCTGGGTTAGGGATTATGTACGGATGGTAGCAGAATAGCTGTGCTGCAGTTAGGGTCATTTGTCCTCTGTATTTTTTGGTGTATGTCCTTTGTCTGTACAGCTGCACATTTCTAGGCATTTTTGAGAAATACGGACTTGTAGAATTTATAGCTGCCCTCTGCTCTGTCTACTTTCAGTAACAGCCGGTTTCCTAAATGAATTGTTTTATTTTCTATTGTATTAAAAATAATTTACTTTCCGACAGAAAATAAAAATCACAGTGTCCAGAGTGACTTTGAACAACTTTTTAAATACCATTAGTCCGATAAAAGAACAAGATGTGATTTGAATAATTTAGTGGTGCTGAAATGTCACATTTTTGAGGCATCTATTTTGTCTTTTCTGAATAGCTGAGCCAAGCACCTCCCTGGAATTTAACAACTGTGTGTCTTCATTCCTAGGTAAATAATAAATTGTTTTCTTCCTTGACTAAAAATTGCCATGACAACTGGCAAACTTGAGCTCTAAGTCAAATATTGAGTTCTAGTCTTTTCAATATTTTTGAAGATGTGATACTGCTTTTGGCAGCTGTAATTTAAGTTTAAAAACTTAACTCAAGTATATTTCACATAGCCATATTAGCTATGCATATTGTGATTAAATAAAATCATGTATTGCAAATAATTTATTACCTTATATAACTTTAAGATTATTTCTCAACTAATTACAGTGATTCAGGGATTAAGGGAAATACCTAAGTCATTTGTCATTTTTATTAGAACTCGTTGAGTATTTTCTTTAAAGCTTCCTTTCATAATTCTCAGTTCAAAACTTCCATCAGTCATCATTGTTTGTTATTCAGACCTGAGGATTTCTGGCAAACTATACAGGCTTCCATTTCTGTGTGATTACCTAGAAAATTGGAATACCAAAAATGAATGCGTGATATTTGTTATCCAGACCTGTAAATCTGTCAAAGTTGTCTTATTCAGTGTTGCTTAAAGTTTGCTTTTAGGATAAGCTTGTTTTCAGTCAGCATTCTTTTGGTTGATGGTAGCCTAAGTTAAGGCAATGTAACAACAAAAGACATTGAGCATAGATGAACGTGATCAGAGAGCTGGCTTTTCTTTTTTTCAGTTCTTGTAGTTTAGACCTCATGTGTATTTACTCATGATGGTAAAATGGTGCAATATTTGCAGGTGTTGTCTTGTCTGATCCACAACCCAAATGTAACTACCTGGCCAGTTAATAAAAGATAGAGTTGAGTCGTACTATCAGGAAAGGATCAAATCCAGTGGCAGTGTGCTGGATAGGAAAATCACCATGAAGAACTTGGAATGTCAGGGGGCAGCAGGCTGGACTAGTTAATTGCCTCCAGATAGGAGATTGCCAGAGGGTGCTGCAGTGGCAGGCCAGGCAGGGAAATCCCTAGAGAGCACTCAGAGTGTCCAGGGGTGGCCAGAGGAACTGTAGCACACCACAGGGCTCCATCCTGCACCCAGGTGCCACAGGGAGTGGGCTTTATAAAATAAGCTACATAGCAGTAGCATCATGAGCTTGTTTTGTCCCATTGTGTGACTACTACTACAAGGAATAGCTGGTGTAGCATATGGCCAGAAAGGCGTTTTCTACAAATAACACTAGTCTGCCTGGTTTCTAGTGTCCTTCAGATAATACTTATTGGGAAAGTCCTGACCCGGTTTGCGTAGAGTGCCCTTTTGACTTGGCAAGTCTTGGGAACACAAAAGGAGCATCTCAGGGACATCGGGCTGAATGTCCTAGTTTTCCTCAGTGATGATATCCAAGCACTTACACTTCAGCAATCAGAATCAGGGAAATTACCTCTCCACCAGAACTCCTGACTCTCTCCAAGTGGGTCCTTCTTAGGCTATGAGCTCGTATGTGCCCTCCAGCCATTGCGGTTGGCAGCATGACATAGGCAAAGTGGCTTGTGCCCAGTGACACAGAAGTGGCCACCTCTGAAGTTCATTTCCAGTGTTGAGACATCAGATGCCAAGGAGGATTGAATACACTTCAGGACATACACCCACCACCACGCTTTTTGTCCACATGGAACCAAGTGATCGGCATCTCAAGGTTCTCAGGCGAGATTGGAAACCCATGAAGATATTGGTCTTCCTCGGGCTGCAAGGCATTGTATTTCTGAATCTGTGTTCCCAGCTCCTTTTTCCTCTTTCTTTGCATAACTGTCCTTTCTTTTCTTGTGTGCATATGCATAATTTGTCTGAAATTGAATTATAATCTTTGTTAAAGAAATAAAATACCTATTTACTGTTAACATTTAATGGCCATTCTCAGCATTCACACTTTGAGTTATACTGTTTCTTTTACTCATGAGGCAAAATCTCTTTAATGTACTACTGGGAATATTCTTTTCCTTTCTGTAATCAAATATACTTTCTTCCAACATTTAAATCTATCTATCTATTTATATGTATATATAATGTATATATAATATTTTTGGAAAACATATATGGAATTTTTGTTTTGATAGAATGTCAAGAATACTTGCATTTTATTTAATTAGCACTTCGATAAATACTTTAGAAAAAATTCACATCCCAAACTTTTTTACTCAATTCATAAGCCTATTCACATAACCACTTTTTTCACATTTAAGTACTCGAATATCTTAAAATACATTTCTATTTAGTGACTCCTTAAATTGATAAGCACAATTGGATTTTATTGTCAAAATAATTTTGCAATCAGCATTAGCCAAGAATTGTATGATTTGTCTAGGTGTTCCTCGGCAAAATTACCTTTTAAAACATTTAAATCTCCTCTCTGGAGGGGAAAGATAATACATAAAGGATTTGTGAAATACAACATAGTGATACCAATAAGGAGAATTTAAATAAAAGTAGAATTTATGTATGTATATATGTATGTATATATTCGCAGTACTGGGAATTAAATCCAGTGTCTTTACACTGAGCCATATCTCCAGCCCTTTTCAATTTTTTTTTTGTACTCTTGAGACAGGATCTTCCCAAGCCACTAAGTTGCCCAGGCTGGAATTGAACTTGTGATCTTCTTGCCTGAGCTTCGCAAAGTACTGGGCTTACAGGCACGCAGCTTCACACCCAGCTTCATACCAGTAGAAATTAGTAAGCCAGGGGCCAGGGGTTTAGCTCAGTGGTTCCACTGTCTGCCTTGCAAGCAGAAGGTCCTGAGTTCGATCCCCGGGACCCAAAAAAAAAAGCAATTAATAAGCCAAACTAAATGGAGATGTTTTCTGAATTTCTGGAGCCATTAACTGAAAGCAGTCCCTGATTTATTTTTAAAGAAGAGGAATTTGAGCTTGTTGTCAATCAATAGTTATTGCATCTCAAATTTTCAGTAACTATTTCTAAATGAGACAGTTTTTGTTTGGGCAGAAATTACGTCTCTAACATTACTGTGGTTGAAAACATCAGGGTACACAGAATATATATTTGCTTCTAAGTATTTAACAGGTTTTTTTAAGGGAGATTACTGAGTTTCTTTTTCTTTTCTTTTCTTTTTTTAATGAGGACTGAACCCAGGACCTCCACACTGTGGTATAGTGGCCAGCCCTTTTTATTTATTTTTAATTTTTAAAATTTTATTTATTTGTTTGTTTATTTATTTATTTATTTATTCATTCATGCATTCATCTGAGGTACTGGGGATTGAAAACAGGGCCTTTACATCGAGCTACATCTTTAACTCTTTTTATTAATTTTTATTTTGAGACAGGGTCTCACTAAGTTGCTAATTTCCCCAGGCTGTGCTTGAATTTGTAATTCTCCTGCCTCTGCCTCCCAGAGTGCTCGGTTTACAAGTGTGTGTCACCAGGCCTGGCTGAGGATTGCTAATTTTATGTCTGTTATTTTCATCTATTTCTTTTTTCTTAGAGATGACTTAAGTCACTTGGCTATTTTGAAGACCACCAACACTTCTAATTTCAGTAGGATTTTTAAAAAAAAAGAATTTTAGGGAAAATATCTCAGTTCTTGATATGTGTCATTCTCTGTTGTTGCAGGAGGATACAGATCACAATTATTACATATCTCGGATATATGGTCCATCTGATTCTGCCAGCCGGGATTTGTGGGTGAACATTGACCAAATGGAAAAAGACAAAGTGAAGATTCATGGAATATTGTCCAATACTCATCGGCAAGCTGCAGTAAGTGTTATGCAAACTTTGTCCCATTAGTTGGCATGTATCCTTGTCTGTGTGGTCAGTTCTGTAGTGTATTCAGTTCTGCAACTGCAGTGTATGTTAATAACTGCATGTAATTCATTAAAAATTAGAGAATTGTGCTGATAAACCACATTAATAGAACCAATTTCCTTATTACGTCTTATGAGTTATATATTTGATTCAAATTGAGATTCATCTTGGATTATTCTCAGTTGTATAACCCTTGGAATGGCTTTACAAATTATTTTCTTTGTTATCTCCCATTTGGTGTAGATTTAATGCTCTTGAGCTTGGAACAGATTTCGCCAAAAACATTTGTGATTCATATAACATATGTAGACCACATTCTGATCTTTCTTTAAAAATTTTAATATAAAGGGAACAAATATGATCGACAAGACATCAAACTGATATTTTAAGCCTGGTTCATGATTTACTGGCTGCGTTTTTTTTGATAAATAATTTAGCTATTCTGAGATACCTTTTCGGCATCGTTAATGTGGTGATGAGGGGGAATATTCATACTAACCCCATTTACCTTGTAAGGTCACTGACATGCTGTCCTGAGTGCCAAGTTGACCGTGTAAAGGAATTGGCTCTTTCAATCTGCAATCTGGTTTAGATATTACTAACATCCAGATACTGCTGATGAGAGAATTCAGTCTTGGAGAAGTCAGAGAACCTCCCTACAAGTTGGGCTAGTAAGCCGTGAGATTGGGATATTACCCTAGACAATTAAGCATTGCTCCAATGTGTGTGTTTGGCTTTACTTTTTGTTAAATGGCAGATTTAACATTTTAAAATTTACTTTTACTGGTATGGATAAACAGTCATGATGCTCTTATCAATAAAGCCATGTGATTATCTATTAAGTATGACTTAAATAAAACAAGTTTAACCTCTCAAGTGCTGTTGTCATTACTGATGCAAAGATAGAGCTGGTACAGTCAGTAATTGAAATTATTTGGAGGAGAATTGATTTGATAACAGTTTTATATACAAAACTTGGCAGTGTCTTCATTGTTCATATATGTAGAAGTCCCTTTATTAGGACATCAACTTGAAACAGTTAAACATAAATTAATTATCGTCCACCATGAGGAGATGTTGAATTTTGAGTGTAGAGTACACATTTTTCTGTCTCTGAGAAGCAAACAAAGCAGCTCTTTTTTCTTACTGAATTCCTTCAGTTCATTTCTTTTCCATATCCAGGCAATTCCAGCCAAGATGTGACAGATTGAGAAATGAAACACTATAGGATTTACAGCTAATCTTCAGAAGAGAAAATGAGGCACGTTAGAGTAGGGACAATGTATCTGGAATTTATAGCGCTTGCCAATCTTCCCATCATATCAGCGCCTACTTGTATAAAATGTACTTCATGGAAGTTTGAGTGTTGCTGTCTCCACATGGAGATTCCATGAATGGCCCAATCTGAAATGGCTGCCATCAGCCATCATGTGTGATGTTGATCGGTTAAATTGTTAGCTGATTTCTTCTCCCACATTGGTCCAACCACCCCCTGTGTGTTTTCTGTTCTCTCCCAAAGGTGAGGCAGTGTCTATGTCCTGAGCATGCTTGTTTTTCGCGTAGGAATAAGGTTTATTTGATTGTCTTGTGACTTCAGCACTATGATAGACTTATGAAAAATTAAGATGCTGTAGAGGACCCACTTTTTCTTATTGTTGGTGTGAGAGTGACATTGTTGCTTCCAGCACCTGAGGTAGGCAGAAATGTAAATAGACTTGAACTTCAGCTGTAAGTGTGTGATGCTTCGTGAATTCAGTTTTAAATGCATATAATTGTTAGCAGCCTCTATTTAGCAATTTTTTCCATTGTTTGGGCTTGGTTTTGTGTTTTTCTATGAGAATTTAAGATAGTATTTTAGAGTTAGAAATTGATACTCCATCTACTTTGTTATCACCACCAACAGAAACACCACACATGTACACCACACACACACACACACGCACACCACTGCCTGCACACCCAGGCACACATATACACACATAGGCACAGACCTCATTGTGTAACAGCAGGCTTGGTAATATTGCCTAGTATATTTTTTTTTCAGAAAAAATTGCCACTTAAACTTCTTCATTTAAATAAATCTTCTATCTTGAAACTTATAAATTTATATATGAGAATATTTTTTGGGTTTGCTTAAAATATTGTTTCTTTTAAAAGCGTGATTTGACCTGAGCTTTCTGAATCATGCAGAGTAATCCATACTTGGTTATTTCCTTAGTTGGCCTCTATACCCTTTCAATCCTGCCTGGTTCTCTGACGCATTTCCTTTGTGCCTTCCTCAAAATAATGTCAGGTTGTTAGAGATTATAGAATTATAATACTAAAGTAATACTATGATGAAGGGGCTTGATAACATCCACATATGTACTCTACCCTGAACACACACACACACACGCACACACACACACGCACACACTCCACATGCACCACACCATAGCTACTCTTCTTTTGGATGTTACCAAGAGGCTTGAACACAAGGGAAAATGGCAAATGGAAAACATGATTTCACTTTATTGATTAGCTTTGCTGCTGTCCTAATAGACATCATTCTCATGCAGAGCTCTATGGTAATTTGGCTGGAAACAGGATTTAAATTTAAGCCCTGAGGGAGAGAAGGTGAGTTTCCTAAATCTTGTCTGTCACCAAATGATGTAATTTGCATACTCAAGGGCAAGCATTCTGTCAGCAAATTAGAAGAAGCCAAGCATAGTCTAGCCATGGAAGACCCAGAGGCAGTTAGTCATCCTGCTCTGGGTAAAAAAGAAGTTAAAGTGAGAAAGTAAGCAGATTGGTTTTCCCAGATGACTCCACTTCCCACTCTCTTTCCTGCTTCCTTAGAATGGGTTAGAAGAAGAGACAGGAAAATATCTTACCTGGGAACATGATTATTTGAAGAAAAATTTCACCTGTACAACTACCTAAAATGTGGTCTGAACAGTATCTTAGAATCTTAGAATTAATCTTGAAATTAATATTCCAGAAAGAGGAGAAAGGTGGAAGTCAAGTAAGAATTTTCTCCTACTTCTCTCATCCCTACTAGCATCTGATCATTTCAAAGTGGAGTAAAACTTAGAAGTCATTTAATTCACATGTCTGACCTGCCAAAGCATATTGATTTCTCTTTCTCTTCTCTTTTACAGTCCAAATCATAATCCTTAGTATTTATGTTATACCCATCCATCCTGTGATTTGATTTCATGTGCTTTTAAATCTCTCCATTCCCTTTTTGTTTAAACAACATTTCCCAAATCATTGTGGTAGAAAAAGCAGATGCTAAAACCTAGTCTTACAGATGACAAATTAAAACACGACACATGACTTTCTAAATAGAGGGAAGTGAAAAGCTGGGATGAGTCCCTACCAAAAGGCAAGCAATAAGGTGGACAATTATATGAAAATTATAGTTATTTGAGTATTTTGTCCTTTACTGAATGTCACATAGGTCTCAGGTTGCAAATCTGAAGGTTTGTGACTATAAACCTTGAAATCAGCCCAGACCTATTTCTTTTCCTCTACATGGACATTTCATAGTCCACATTTCTGTGATTTTTTTCTGCACTTCTCTATTCATATTATTTAACTTATTGCTGGAGACAAATTTTGTTTAAATGGCCAAACAGAATTATGGTGTCCTCTGAAATCACAGAAGAAATTCTGACTCATGACTCCTTGAAAATTTCTCTGCCCCGACTGAGTTGGGCAGAGATTAGAAATTACAAGACCTTGCCTCCAGCACCTATTTTCTTGGGTTCTGTGCCCTTTGTGGATCAATTTTGTAACTTGGAAGATAGGTGTAGAAATGTCTCTCTTGGCTTCCCCTTTGCCTCACTGCTTGCTTGAGAATAAAAATGAAACAGTTTTGAAAAAATATGAAAGGACACTGAAAAACCTTAAAAAAAAAAAAGAGGAATGTAAACATTAGGTACTGCAAATGTGTACCCCCCAAAAAAGGAAAGAGATTGGGGGATCGATAGAGGGGAAAGGAAGGGAAAAGAGATGAAAAAATGTATTATGTACCTGTACCAACTTCCCACAAGGAGTACTACAAACACCTACTAATAAACTAAAGTCAAAAAAGGAATAATGAGATTTTACAACCCTGTTATTTGAAAGCCCTAATTCTTACCAAAAAAAAAAAAAAAAACCATATCAAAGAAAAACCAGAGAGTGGCAATCATTAAAGTGATAAAAGCAGATTTTATTCCGATTGTCCCAATACAGGGAAAGAGAACTTGATATAGAAGTGGGCTCAATTCTGAATGGGCAAGTCGGCGTTTTAGCCAACGAGTCATTGCATAGCCAATACCAAAAGGAAAGATCAGGAATAAAGGAAATTCTGGCTGAACTGACCTAATAGGATTCTTGCTGAAGGAAGACCAGAGTGGTCATACACTTCCTGGAATCCGGTGAAGGGTAAGAAACCCGATAGATATTAAAGGATTGGAGGTTTGGGGTGTGGACTTCTTGCTAAGCTGACATAACAGGTAGCAGGTTTTTGTTGTTTTTGGTGGTGGTGGTGGTATTTTTTTTTTTATAAAACCAGTTTTTACATTAAGGTATATGGATGGGTCTAATAGAATATTTGGAAGACTGATTAAAGTTTGGCTAATTTGAAGGATGATCAGATATCAAAGCTGGGGATTCTTGTTACAGCTGTCACTGGATACTGTGCAAGGAGGTCCTCCCAAAAGGAGATGAGAGGGGGACTTCAGTTTGTCCCGTAGAGTTGTTTGTGGACTCTCATCCTGTAAATGCATTGCAGGACACATCAGTGTGAGGTGTGGGCAGATTTATTAGGCAGAGGTAGAAACGAAGGGAAGATAGGGAAAGGATTCCAGCTTGAGCAGCTGGAGGGGGCTCACTGAGGAAGTGGTTCAGGCTGGCTGGTGCACACAAGAACAATGTCAGCCTTTATGGATTTGCTGGTTGATCATTATTATCTCAGTTCTGCT